TTTAGAGGAGAGAATTATATATATCCTTTAAAAAAATTATCGTCCTACACTAATAAATCATAATAATAGTACAAAATGTATGTGCTTTTGAAAAATATACAAAGTGAAAAAAATTTAACTGACAACTCTTATATAACTTTATTTACAATTAACATTTCATTATAATTTTTTTAAATAATATATTTTGTTTTTATTTTTAGTAATAAAAATATAATTTTTTTTATATAAAAATTTTTTTTTATTTTAAAATGGCCATTTTTCAGCATTTTTTTATACAAAAATGACTAATTAGGCAATACAAATTTTAGAAGAAATAATTATCGAGTTAAAAGCATAAAAGAAGATTCCAAATAATAAAAAATTAATTTAAAGTTCTAAAAGAGATGAAAAATAATTATTTAACTACATAATACTGTATTTTTTTAACGAAATAAATTTTCTCTTTATAAATATTTCATTTTCAATCATTACTTAGAAAATGAACGTCAGACCGAAAATCGATCATACTATTTTATATGATTATACTTCCTTAACGATAAATTGAAATAGTTCAAGAAGACATTTTTTATAATATAAACAAGAATCAGTAGCGTAGATATATGGGGGTTTAGGTTTAAACCCCCCAGAACCAAAAAAAAAAATTATTTATAAATAAAGTAGAGGTACGATTTAAAATTATTTTATATCATTATTTTTTTACATTTTGTTAATAATATTATCATATGTATTTATATATACAGGTAATGGGCCTCCATTGCCCTTAGTCCTAGCAATAAAATGTAATAAAGAATTCAACTTTATTTTTCCTTCGTAATCAGATTAAAACCTTTTCAAAATTAAAATTTTTCAAATGGTATTACGTGTAGTTTATTAAACTTTTAAAAAATATATAAACATGTAGCTCGAAAGTCCTTATTTAAACAAAATGAAAAATAATTTTATTTTTGAAAATGCATAATCTATTTTCTAATTATTGATAAAAACTATCAGTTAAATTTTTAACAGCTGTGCAACAAACTATATAAAAAGTAGTGATGGGAAATATCGAATAGAAACTATCGAACTATTCGATAGTTGTCCACTATTCGAATTATTCGATAGTCATTCAAAAAATATTCGATAGTTACACAATATATTCGAATAGTTTTTAAAACTATTCGATAGTATATGCTAAAAATAAACTATTCGGTTGTATAAAAACAATTTGAATAGTTATACGATAGTTTAAAATATTTGAAAATGCCAATCACTAATTTTTGCTATTATTAATTGTACAATAATTTATCTATAAGTATTCGTTAATTATCTTCTTATTATAATTAAGTATACTTAATAAAAAATTTTAGGTAGAACTAATCGAATATTTTTTAAAAACATTTGGTAACCTATTCGAATAGTTTATGCTAAAAATAAACTATTCGGTTGTATAAAAACAATTTGAATAGTTATACGATAGTTTAAAATATTTGAAAATGCCAATCACTAATTTTTGCTATTATTAATTGTACAATAATTTATTTATAAGTATTCGTTAATTATCTTCTTATTATAATTAAGTATACTTAATAAAAAATTTTAGGTAGAACTAATCGAATATTTTTTAAAAACATTTGGTAACCTATTCGAATAGTTTATACTAAAAATAAACTATTCGGTTGTATAAAAACTATTCGAATACTATTCGATAGTTTAAAATATTCGAAAATGCCCATCACTAATAAAAAGAGTTTTCAAATAGTCTGTGGCTATACTATGGTAAGAATTTTTGGTATTTCAAATATGAAATTCATAATATAAGGATAAAAAATTTTTGGAATAGCAAAAAAATTGTACAACATCCGATTATGTAAACATTTTAATGTTGATACTGACCATATATCGAAAATATTGATAAGAACAATTTAAAAATCGATGTTTAAAACAATTGAAAAACATTGTAGCATTTAAATTCTTCAATTTATTCAATTAATAAAATATTTTTATAGATTTCATTTATACATTGATATTTTCTACTTGATAATGATATTTTTACCAAGCACTCAAATTTTTATGTAGAAAATTTAATAAATCTACAAAAGGAAATACAATTATTAAAGTACATTTTACTTTTTAAGTATATTTATAACTAAACAATACTTAAATATTAATAATCTACTTAATGAAATTATAAATTTCTCAATTTATTATCTCATCAATTAAAGGATAATAAAAAAAAAATATTGGATTAATTTTCGATCTTTTAGAATAATCGATTGTGATAATAGATATGTGATATGATCTTTATCTGGAGTTAAGATTGATAACGAAATTTTACGATTTGTAACCTTTGCTATCATTTAAAGTTTAGCAAAGTGAAAAAACTCATGTTTTGTTGTTAAGAATTTTTAGTATTTAACAAAAAAAAAAAAATGTGGTACGAAGCTTTACCTCCAGCAGTTATTGTATTCGTATTGTTAAATATACCTGACAGATTTTGTTCACTTACAAATAAACTCGTTTTGGGTAATGTAAGTAAAATATTATGTTTTTCGTTATTTTTAATAGTTTTCATTATGTCCACAAAATAAGTGTATTATATATAATATATATAATAAATATATAATTATATAAAATTAAGTATTATCTTGTAAAATTATGTTAATCAATAATTGTATAAACAACTTTTGGTTGATTTTAAAAATGTAATAAAATTTTATTTGTTTTTTATATAACTTTTTTTAATTGAAGGTGTCAGTGGATAAAGGTATTAATTGATATTCTTTGAATTGTTCAGGAATGCTAGTTTTGTAACTTAATATTAAAAAGCATGGAATTTTCGTGATATTCAATATATGAAACCATTTATTAGAGAACAAATATCGGTTTAGAGATGCTCTATAATGTTTTTATTACATAGTTCTTTTTTTATTAATTACAATGCTTCTACTAAGCATGTAATAAAATGCATTTTCAGAAAAATATCAGTTAACACCTTATCCACTTAATCACTTTTTCCACGTAGTTAAAATACATTAGTGATAATTTAAATTATTTTTACAGTATATTTTTAATGCAACATATAGTTTAATTTATTTTCTATATAATGAATAAGAAATTTATTTAATTTTGTGTAAAATATTACAAATTTGTTGTGTTGATTTTTAATTGTCAATTGGTGTCTAAATATTTTTGATAAAATTCTTACAGAATATTATTGCAAAAATTTCTAATGAGAGCTACATAATATTCATATTAAGACTATCATGAGCTTCATTACATGTTAACAATAGGTTTGTAAACTAAACTAACCTACAATTAACTTTTTTTAGAAAATAAATATTATTTAAATGCTTCTAATATTCTTTTAAAATAAATTTATTTTCATTCAACACTTCACTTAATATATATTATTTTTTATAAAATACTGCATTGCATTTGTACCTGTGAGATTAATATGAATGAAAAATATGGATATATTAATTATTATTTAATACAAGTTGAAAAAAATATAAGTTTTTTGATAAACATTTAGTGAAATTGTCTAAATACTGATCTTTACCACATACTTTAATCTCATTTAAATGCTACCACCAAGTATTGACATAATTTTGAATTACAAATAATTAATAAAAATTAGTTGATAAATAGTTATTAAAATAGTCATTATGTAACACTAAACTGTAATATTAATACATGTTATTGTTTAAGACATTGTGTAAATTTATATTGTATATTTTTCAAGCTGTTTATGTATTATGTATGATATATAGCACAATAAATACAGTAGGGATGCCATCTGCAAGCATATGATTATTAACATTTGGTGTAGTTAAATTTAGCTTATTATTCTCTATCAAATTATCCAAGCTTTATTCATAAATAGTTGTATGAATATATTTTTAAGTACAAAAAAAAAAAAATGAATACACAATGTTACTCTTATAGAAAATCAAAACTTTATTCAAAATATACCCCTATTGTATTGAGTGCGAAATATAATAATAATATGCAGGAATGATAAATGTTTTTAATTTTCAAGATTTTCTTAACAAATAAAAAAAAATTGTCTATCATAATTTAATGTTGTACATTTTGTGTGAAAATAATTAGAAATTATCCACTTTGGTATATAATTAGAAATTATCCACTTTGGTATAAAGAAATTATTTAATTATAGACATACCGTCGAGATATTGGTAAACCATGGATGCAGAGGTACTATGCTAGAGATTGGGAACTGACTGGTAACCCATATAAAGCTCAAGTATGAATTTTATCATATATCTGAAATTATTAATATTTATTTTTTATTTTATGTTGTAAGGGTCTAGAATCTTTGTCAGATGAACCAACAATTGGAGGAATAAACTGGCAAAAGTATAATCGTTTCTCAAAATAAAATAATTTATTATGAATATAAATAAGATAAATTATCCTTTGTAATTGGATGTGTAGATCAATACTAGTTAACACAATAGAAACACATTTATTTATATGTATGTCATAAATCTAAGATATTTGTAAAATATGATTATCTAATTAAAATGTAATATAAAAAATTTTACCAAACATATTGAATGGCTTAATTATTTAAATATTTAAACTTTTAATTAAAATTTATTAAATTTATTATGACATATAATATATAATATGAGACAAACAATGGCCAAGATTTTATTTTGAGGGAAAAGAGTTCTAAAAAATCCTTTACTTCCCGTAAAATAGTATATATAAATTTTAAGTTCATAAATTAATGTAATTTGGAAATATTGAACTATGAGAATTAGCTTTAATAGTTTACTCTTTTTGGGCAAAATACAAACAATTTTGTAGTTAAATTCAGTCTATGAAAAAAATATAGAATTATATTTACTGTTATGTAAAAATATTTCTAATGTGGGGTATATAAATAAATTTATTACTTTCAACATTTTTATATTAGTTGTGTCTATGGATTCAATGAAATTGAATATTTATTATAAAGATAATACCATAATATAAAAATTGGTGTAAGTAGAAGAATTCATTAAAATTGAATAATAATTAAACGTTTTAATATTGGATCAAAAGTATATTGAATAACTACTCAATATTACAGTTATACAGACATAAACTGTGTAAAACTTGAAAACAATTATCATAAAACTTGATCTATCACAATACAATTCAAGAATAATTTTAATTTAATTATATAATTATTTTTTAATACTTTTATAACATAACAATATTCTACAATGACTAGTTATGGCATTTCTTCATATTCATCTGATCGTGTTGATGGTGATGGGGAATATCTCGAACTGTCAGACTTTCTAAATATTGATGGAGATATTGACCTCTTTTTTAAACTAAATTAAATATTATTTAAATCCTAATAGTATAGAACAGAAAATTAAATTACTATATTTTAATAGTATTAATTACTTTGGTAATGTTGATGTCTTAAATATATCAGTAATTTTCCCTTTGGTTTCTTTACCAGTTGTTATATCAAAACTGTGAACACTTGAATTACTTTTAACAGACTGAAACATGAAAAATTCAGTTGTGTTTAATTATTATTTATAATAGGAGTCTTTAGGATTTATACACATTTATAAATTTTATTAAACTATTTCTAAATATCATTAGCCATTACAAATTTGTTTTAGTAGATTTGAAAATTAAGTAATGTGTCTAGTTAGAGTTATAGTGTTAGAGTGATTAGGGAGATTTATTGTTCCTTAAAATAAAAATTATTTCAATTTTACTGTATGTATCAACTAAAATTTTTTTACAAAATTGGGTATTTTTAAAATAGCTCAAACAAAATTTATAAATGTACATGCATTAGGCCGGTAACTTTTAATATTTTGTGGGTAAATAACAATATTGACAATACCTCATTCTAACAAAATAATATTCATGCCAAGTCCTCGTTATTTATTATATTGAGTAAGATATATTAAAAAATAAAAAAATACTTTTGATGGCTAAATTATATTCAAATATTAGTATATTTTAAATTTATATCTANCCGGTAACTTTTAATATTTTGTGGGTAAATAACAATATTGACAATACCTCATTCTAACAAAATAAGATTCATGCCAAGTCCTCGTTATTTATTATATTGAGTAAGATATATTAAAAAATAAAAAAATACTTTTGATAGCTAAATTATATTCAAATATTAGTATATTTTAAATTTATATCTAAAATATTAATTTTTATGAAAAATTAAGGTAACACCATAGATTTATCCATATAATAATCATAGATATAAAATATAAAAAGAGAATTAATGATTACTAATTATTTATTCTTAATTTTAAATTTTACTTACAGAATCACTATCGTGATCGAAACTTTTTGAACTTTTTGTTAATTTTTTCAATTTTCCAAGAAGTCCTTTTTTTTTAGGTTTCTCGCTGGTTACAATATCACTTTTCGATGAACTATGTGATTGCTGACTACAAATTAAATATATATTTATATAGTAAAATTTGACAGCTGCCCCATGAAAACCCTCATATAGACACGCCACTTTTAACTAGCCAAGATTAAGAATCCACGATTTTAAAGCCTCGATATTTAGAGGCTTCTGATTTCTTTGTAAAAGTAAAACGTAAAATGTATAACTTGATGTCATACAATTTAATGTCATAGAGTAGTATTTATGGGAAAAGTTTATGGAGTATATATTTTTTTTTGTTCTCGTATTATAATATAAATAGCTCCCAAAAATAGTAGTGATGGGAAATATCGAATAGTAACTATCGAACTATTCGATAGTAGTCCACTATTCGAACTATTCGATAGTTACATATATATTCAAATATTTATAAAAACTATTCGGTACCTCCATTCGAATGTTTTTTAAAATATTAAAATGCCCATCACTAATTTTTTTTTATTATTAATTGTATCCTATTTATAATCGTAGTACCCTGAATAAACAGTTTTAAACAATCTTATTTAGTCGTTAGTGTTATTAAAACAGCAAAACTATAAATCTGACTATAATTTTACATAAGACCAATCTTTTAAACAATTTAACTTGACATATTTTTTTAACGAAACATTTTATTGTAAAATGATTATTTCGAGAATTAAGAATGATTTATATTCAAAAAATGAATTTTGGCAAATTATATTTTATTTTATTTTTTTGAGCAAATAAAAATAATTTTAGAAAATTTTTGTGAATATAATTTTAGAAGAAAATATTAAAATCTATAATTTATATTCTATACATTGTTACGCTAGGTGTTCAATGATTAACCGACTAATAAAAATAGTTCATATAATTTTTATAGAGGAGCACTATTTATTGTTGTCGCCACTTTTACAAACGTAAAAATTTAAAACGCACTGTTCTCTTTATCGGTGTTATGCCTTTATATGACAAAAGAGCAAGTAATGCTAGACTAAGAACAGTATACATGGTATTAAGTGTAAAATAAGACTTTAGTATTTACGAATACTTCTGTTGCGCATAGAACAAACCTTTCCGATAAAACTGAAAATCATTAGTCATCGGAAAAAAGAACTGCTTTTTAATTTTCAACCCATATTTATCAGTTTTTACCAACGACTCACAAACTAAAAATAAATAAAATGGTACTTTTTACTGTTATTAATTGTATAATAATTTATTTTAAGTATTCGTTAATAATCTTCTTATTATAATTAAGTGTACTTAATAAAAATTTTAGTTAGAACTAATCGAATATTTTTTGAAACCATTCGCTAGTCCATTCGAAATTTTTTTAAAACTATTCGATAGTTTATTCGAATATTTTTAAAAAATATTCGATAGTTTATGCTAAAAACACACTATTCGGTTGTATAAAAACAATTCGAATAGTATTCGATAGTTTAAAATAATCGAAAATGCCCATCACTAAAAAATAGCCCATCAAAAAGAAAATTATTTATTCTGTTCTTAATCAAAAAATATTCCATATGTTACAAATCTTTTCTCATGCCATGTCTTTTCTCGTTTATTATATACTTTATTGAATTAAGTTGAGATAAAAATGATTTTTTAAAAAAAATACTTAAGCCAAGTCTAAATATAGCAATTAAAAATTGTTTAATTTTATAGCCCTCCCAAGAAAAATTTTTTTTTAAGGAACGTAGAATACTTTATGATTAATAGTAGTTAAACTTATACAAATGATTTCCAAGAGTTTGCAAAACGAAATACTTATACAATGTCTACACTTTAATATCAGCCTCTAGTACCTGTCAAAACTGCTTAATTTTTTTGTTAACTTTTTCTTTGGTAAATTATGTTCATCCTTTTTCCAAATATCCTACAACGATTATGTTATTATTATTATCTATTAAATTTTGAATTATTGAGGAACTCACTTGTTCAGTATTTTCCATGTTTTGTTCTAAAGATAAACTCTTCCTATATAAACTTCCTCTTATAGGAGGTTTCTCATGTGGATCATTTTCACTTGACGCTGATCTTTATGATATGAAAGAATTTTAAATTGATTAATAATATCATAAATATGTAAATGATATATAATTTCACTATGATCTATTTTATATGCCTTACCTATTTGAGAACAGTGATCGCTTACATTTAGCATCTTTTTGAGAAATACTAGAAACTAAATCTTTAGATAAATCATTGACTTTCAAAAGTAAATTTTTTATTTTCTCTTGGTTATTTTTTTCAGAGTATAAAAGTTTATCATCCGAAGATAAGTCTGGAGATGCTTCCCTAGACTTAAATATTCGTTTTCTTGCTGGTGGAGTAGGAGTATTTGATCTTAGTTGTAATTTATTTGTTTCGCTTTGTTCTGAATATGTAGCTACTAAATTGTTAATTAATTGTGCTATGTTGTTTATTTTTAATTCCATCTGGGGATCCGATCTTAACCGAATATTGCATAATTTAAGAGATTCGCATTCCTGTTCAATTTTATCCTTCTCTTTTCTAAGTTTTTCGTTAATTGTTCTCAACTTTGCATGAGCATCTCGTAAATCCATAAGATCACATTGGATCTATAAAAAAATAAAAATCATAAATAAATTAGTAAATGAGGAGTATTAAAATATTTAAGTAATAAAATAAACAAATTAGATGCACTATTTAATAATTATTATAATTGTAGCATTAAGGCATAATTATTTTTATGAATATGATTTATAACACGTCAAATCAATTAATGATTTAAATTTTTTAATCTTATTTAAGTGTCTTATTTAAACTATTTAAGTGTCGTATGTTAGTTATTTTAGAAATTTAAAATTATTGTAATACCTCCATTTACCTCATTAACTTTTTTTCTGTTCTCTTGTTGATCTGCATCCATACTTTTGGTTAAATGTTCAATTCGACGTTTAGTTTCTAATCTTTCTTTATCTCTTTCTCTTTCAACCTTTAAAATTATACTGCTGAATTATTATGTACAATTTTACAATGTTGTGTAGCATACATACTTCATATAAAGTCTGTCTCAAATCTCTAGCTAATGTAGATGTTTCTTGTAAAAGTCGTTGCTGATCTTCACGTTCTTTTTGCCATGCCAATTCCATTTTTGCTTTTAAGCCTTGAAGTTTCGTTCTACCAGAGTTAAGAAGTCGTTCTTCTTCCAACTTTAATAAAAAAATAATTTTACATTTTTATAACAGTATTTTTATTTTCAAAAAGAAATAAATTAATTATAAGCTAAACTATTAAAATTTCTAAGTAGTATTGTTTTTTGTTCATTAAAAAAAAAAATTCAATGAATAGATTAAAAAATAAGTAATTTAAATTAATATTTATATATTAATAGAAGTAATATATAATCAAGACACTAATTTATTTAATATTTTAAAACATTTAGGTAGATACTTTTTACTTTCACAGTTTTAATTGTTTAAAAATCTCTGTAAAACTAATAAGATATATTTTATTAAACAAAATCTCAACTAATAAAACTTATTTTATAATCATTAAATTACAAAATTTGAAAATATCTCTAAAGGCTATTGCAATTAGTAAATATTTGTAATTATTCTGATTATAAAAATATATTTTAATCAAATTATATACTAACTTTATTGAGACGTGATGTCATTTCTGATTTTGTTATTTCCCATGATGATTTCTCTGTGACTAACTCAGTTTTCAAACGCGAACATTCCAATCTTGCTTCAGACAATTGTTCTTCCATACAAGACACCTGTTGTTGGAGTAATTGTAGTTCATCGTCCTATATTAAATTACCAAGACTATATTTTAACACAATGCTTATAAAATCATACTATTTCCGTAATATATTTTCAATTAAATGATGAAACTAATAGAATGTAAATAAGTCAATAGACTTATTGATTAATAACATTTTTTTTAAATATGTTATAGAAATATTTTTAAAACATTATCTTTTAAATTTATGTATGTTCTTAGTATATTAAGAACAATTAATATAATTTAAACACTTTTTTTTTGTCGTATACAATTTATAAAATTCTCTATATATAGTATTATAAATACATACATTTGAGAGGATTTTTAAATTTTCTATATCAATTATAAACAAACAAGTTCTTAAAAACCTTTATATTTTCACCTACAATATATTAAATAAACAGATTAAAAAAAAATTCTGAGTAATATCGATGTTGATTACAGGAGCAGTGTTGAAAGTTTAGTCCTACATTTTTCAAAAAATATCTTAAATTTATATAGAGAAAAAATATTTTAAATTCTTTTTTGAGATTTCAATATTGTAATTTAAAAATTTCTTTTTTCTTCATCGGTATTTAAATTCAGCAAAATGCAATAAAAAAAACAGTGTTACGAACAATTTTAAAGACTAAGTCTTAGAGCTGAATAGTTAGAAATAACAACTTACTTTACTTATATTTTGTTGTTTATTAATATTTGTACTCGTATGTTTTTCAGACGTCTCCAGCATTTGTTTGAAAGAATCGCGTTCTCTTTTAAATCTTAATGTTTGAAATTGACTATTTTTAATTTCTTCAGAAAGTATTGCTATACGATTATCATACCGTACTTTTAAAGCAGCGATTTCAATTTTTTTGGCTTGTTCTTCGTTGTATAATCTGTCACAAAACATATTTAGAAATCTAAGAATATTTTATACATATAAATAAAGAGAAAAATTTAACAGACAAAAAATTGCAAAGAATTGTGTATTATTAATTTTAAATGATGTGTATATAATATATTTTTAAGCTTTGTTTGGTAATCAAACTGAAAGATACATAGAAGAATAGTTATAAAAATTACTTAATTTTTGCTTCTTTCAAGGAACTCTCTAGTGATTTAGTCTCCATAGATAAGTTGTGCTGAACTTTAACAACTTTTTCGAAGTCGTCTAGATTTTTTTGAAGGTTATCATTCTATGAATTTTATATTTTATCAAATTAGTTATAATTATATATTTAAACCTTTCATTAATATTTTACTTCTTTTCTAAGCTTCTCAATTTGATTCGTGTACTGAGTGCATTGTTTGTGCAATGTATTAATTTCTCTCACATTTTCTTCAATGTTTCGTTTCATATTTTCTTTCTCATTTTTCCATTCATCTAAAGAATGAGATTTTTCGACTTCCTTCAATTGTCTCTATTTATATAAAAAAATACTTTTACAAAGTTTGCATTTTTATTTATACATATCATATTATATTACTTATATTTTATTACCTCTAAGTTTAATTTTTCTATACTCCACGTGTTTTTTGAATTATCATAAGTATCCTTAAGTTTTTTAAATTCTACTTCTAGTTTATTTAAATCTCTTTTTTTTATTTCCATTAAACTTTACATAACAAAAAAAAAAAAATGAATTATTTAAATATTATGAATATTATGGGGTCTAAATAATAATTAAAATAGTGGTAAGTTTCATTTACAACCCCTACTACCATTTTAAACAGGAGGTGACCAGACTTCTAGGACACCATATATATACGTAACTTTATTGTACATTAGGTAAATTAAAAAATAAAAAATTTAAATACGCAAGGATCGTATTATAAAATAAATATAGTTAAAAAAAACTGAAAAACACACTATTAAAACATATTGAACTAAAAAGTTAAAAATAATTTTTCATATAAGCTTAAAACAATAATGAACGAAAAATACTAGTATTATTTTGAAAAAAAGCGTCGGACACTCAATATACGAAAAATATGGTACAAAGCTCCCAAGTTAAAGTTGACAATATAACAAATGGTAATAAAAAAATACATTATAAGTAAAAAATAATGTTCTTTAAAAATAATTTTAATTTAACAATATCTTTTAAAAAAATAACCTAAATACACACCTATGCTATTTATACAATATTTAGTATGTAAGAAACACAAACAATACCTTTGAATTTTTTCTTTTTCTGCAGCCCACTTAGATTTAGAATTTATATTTTCTTTTTGTAAAATTTCAAATCTACTCAAAATATCTGTGGAATTTTTTCTTTCAAGCAATAAATCATTTTCAAGTTCTTTAAAAACAATTCACTTATCAAATAATTTTATCGAGTTATTCCAACATTCATAGCTTTTTACTTACTCTTGATTTTTTTATTAAATTCATTTTGCAAGTCAATTTGTTTTTTATTTTCATCATCATTAGTTTTCTCTTTTAACTTTGCAATGCAGACTTCTTTTAATGATAATTCTTTATTGTAAGACATTTTTAATTTTTCTGTTTTTTGTATCTCTTGCTATAATTTACATTTATTTCATTAAAAAAAAAAATCATTCATTTTGATTAATTAAATTTTTTTTTTTTAATATCTTTAACCTTTACTTTTAATAAAATAATAAAAAAAAAATTTTCGAAAAAAAAATTTGTTAACTTATTAAAAAACTTTACAACGAAAGACCTTTTTTATGTTGAAATAACCGTAATATAACCATATCTATACTTCAAACGGCTATAAATAAAGACCGGATTAACATGTGACCTTGAAATCTTATATTTTATCTAAGCAATATACTAGAATTGGGTTTTCATAATTTTTTAACATTATGAGTACATTTTAAAATGGGACTTATAAGCACCTAAAATTCGATTTCAGACCACTGTGCTACGTTTGGGTTCATTAAAAAAAAATTATATTGAAAAAAAACTTTTACTTGTGTGGTAAGGTTTATCAAACCATTTATAATATTCTTGAAATAATTATAGCAAAACGAAAAAAATGACTAATTTTTACTGAAATTATGCAATTTTTGGTTTTAAAGTCAAATAATTCTAGAAAAAATTATCATATAAGGTACTTTTTTTTGAAAAAATTGCGACTTTTTTGCTTTGACGGCTGATTTATTTTTAGAAGAACAATCGTCAAACAACAATTGTTTTAAATATTATAGAATATTTAGGTTTAAAAGATATAGTCGATTTAGAATAATTTATTCTTTCAAAACCTTCGTGCATTATATTTTTATAAAAATCATACCGAAAGTAATCTTGTATATAGTATCCTCTATTAAAATCAGTATTCTTTAGCTATAGCAATATTAAAATGTAGAGAATTTTTTATGAAAAAACAGTTTTTTAGAGTGCTGTAATTTTGAGATGTTTTTCTACATTTTAGCTTCGATGCGAAGCTGAGAAGGTATTAATTTTACTATGATGTGTTTTTTTTTTTTTGTGTCTGTTACTACTTTTTCTCAGCTCTCACCGAACCGATTTCTCTCAACGATACGTCTAAAGATCACAAATCGTATCTAGTCGAAGACATTACCCTCAAAAAATGAAAAAATTTCCCTCGTTCTCCGTAAATGGGAAAACCTCCAAAAAAATTACAAATTTAAAAATCGCTTATTTTCGAAATTTTTTAACAAATATGTACTTTAAGCAGACCCGGATTATACCTATTTGGAACACTTGAGTCCCCTGGATGTCACATCTACTATTAGACAAAATTTAATATCTTTAGTAGATAATTTTTTAATATAAGAGGATACTACCAAAAAATAATTAATAAAAATACGTAGCACAAATTGAAAAAATATGATATTCAATTTGCAAAAATAAAATTTTTTCCTCCTTCATATATATGTATCTTCAGAACTGTCGCAGCAGGGCTAGATTTTTGAATGGGTTCCATTAAAAGTATCTTCATAATATTTTTTAGCTTTAATGCGAAGCTGAGAAGGTATTGATTTTACTAAGATGTGTTTTTTTTTTTTTTTTTTTTTTTTTTTTTTTTTTTTTTAAATTATTTT